TAAGAATCATGGTAAATTTTTCTACTTCTTGAAGTAGATAACCTATACACTACCCCTAGGAAGCACTCTTAAAACATTAGGGAAGGAGGAAGATAAAGAATAATATTCAAGAAAAACTTTAATTTTCTTTAACAAGATGGCAGCAAAGGGCAAAAAAAAATGAGAAAAGAATGTATATATAACATACGTAAAATCTTTTTCACCTTTCTCCAGGTAGCACTTGAAAACCTCCAAAGATCTAAATATAACCTTTCCCAGTGTTTGTCTGTCACAAAATCACAGAATGATTAAGGTTGGAAGGGACCTCTAGAGATTATCTAGTCTGATCCCTCTGCTCAAGCAGGGACACATACAGCATGTGGCACAGGGTGGCGTCCAGGTGGGTTTTGAAGATCTCCAGAGAAGGAGACTCCACAACCTCTCTGGGCAACCTGTTCCAGAGCTCTGTCACCCTCACAGTAAAGAAGTTACTCATGGGGATGGAACTTCGTGTGTTTCAACTTGTACCCATTACCCCTTGTCCTTTCACTGGCCATCACCGAGAAGAGTTGGGCCCCATCCTCCCTACATTCTCCCCTGAACATGTTGATCAGATCTCCTCTCAATCTTCTCTTCTCTAGGTTAAACAGGCCAAGGTCGCTTAGTCCTTCCTCATAAGATAGATGCTGCAGTCCCTTAATCATCTTCTCTCCACTGGACCCTCTCTAGAAGCTCAATGTGCTTCTTGTACTGGGGAGCCCAGAACAGCACACAATACTCCAGGTGCGGCCTCACCAGAGCTGAGGAGAGGGGGAGGATCACCTCCCTTGACCTACTGGCAATGCTCCTCCTGATGCAGGCCAGGATCTCATTGGCCTTCTTGGCCACAAGGGCACATTGCTGACTCATGGTTAACCTGTTGTCAACCAGGACTCCCAAATCCCTCTCCACAGCTGCTTTCCAGCAGGTCAACCACTGTTGACCTGTTCTGGTGCCTGGGGTTATTCCTCCCCAGGTGCAGGACCCTGCACTTGTCCTTGTTGAACCTCATAAGGTTCCTCTCTGCCCAACTCTCCATCCTGTCAAGGTCCCTCTGAATGGCAGCACAGCCCTCAGGAGTGTTGGCCACTCCTCCCAGTTCGGTGTCATCTGCAAACTTGCTGAGGGTGCACTCTGTGCCCTCGTCCAAGTCATTGATGAACAAGTTGAAGAGCACCAGGCCTAGTACTGACGCCTGTGGGACACCACTGGCCACAGTGACTAGTAATCAAGTGACTAGAGGTTCCTGCTCAGTTAGCAGAACTCCGTGCCATTGTTCTACCTCTTAGGAATGGTTCACAGAACGTATATGTTGTTTGGACGGGTGCTACTTAATGGCTAGGACATTGGGCAAAACGTAACTGTCAGAGAGGGAATGAAGGTGTTTGGAGAAGGAAATTTTAGGAGCAAATACTCCTGTCCTGTTAGTATAGAGTACATAGCAGCACACCAGAAAAATACCACTCCAGTGGCGAAATGGCATAATACATGTGACCACTTAACCAGTATAAATGTGGCATGCTTGAGTACTGGACACGAGGTAAATGTCTGCATGAATGGTTGGGACACAAGGAGCATATGACCTCTATCAGTAGGCAGCAAGAAGGGGCCATCCAATTACTGAGCAACAGGCAGTTCATGTAGTATAAACCTGTATATTTGGTAATGAAATGAAAGAGTTCATCTTGTCAAAAGTCAACAACAAGCAAATCTTATGGAAGGAAAAGTCCTTCAAGGCACTTGGCAACTGGACTTTATTGGGCCTATGACACATACCTTCAAGAAGTGGAAATTTATTATAGTTGAAGTAGGGAATGGTTGAAGTTTACCCTAAAATAGTATAAGAATAGTGTCTCAAGCACAGGTTTAAGAGGACTTTCCGCTTACCCATCAACCTCGGAGTAATTGTAAAATTGAAAGATGGAATACGTTGTTTAAAGAAGAACTCAAATGACATGATAGTGATAGTGGCTGTGGAAGAAAATTATGGGAGGCTGTGTGTTTTGCCAATTGACAGGGCAGGGGGCAGGGAGGAAGCAACAGAAAGAACCAGACACCAGTGGAAACCAGCGGACGGAATGGTCTTATTTCACTATTAATATTAAGGCAATACAGCATGATACATTTAACAAAACAATAAGATTACTACGCACTCAGTTTTAGCAACTGACAAAATAAGCAAGGTAATGCACTTAACCATTATTATACAAAAAAGAGGACAGTGTTTAAGATAAAAGATACATCACCAATTGCCTAAATGCATTACCATCATCCAGATCCCCATCTGCCCTCCTCGCAGCTGCAAAGAGGAGCAATGGAGGGTGGAGTGGAGTGAAGACACCACGGCCAAACTCTGTTGTTCTCCCTGTGCTGTGCTCCTGATAATCCGCACAGTGAAATATACAATAAGACCATCCGACTTATCTTGTAGATGGGTATCACATCGACAAGTCTCCACTATATGCTCCACTGTATGCTTTACAGGACCCTGCTGGGCCTCCAGCTTCTGCTCCAAAAGGGCATTGGTGTTCTGCAGGTCTTGCATGGTATTTGCCATTCCACTAGAATTGATTTGAATGCCCCAGGATATACAGAACATCGCTGCACATATAGTCATATGACCCAAGATTGTTCCTCTTCCTTGGATGATAAGAAAGGGATTAATTTCACCTACTTGGATTGGTCCACAGTGCATATTCAGACATAATCTGTGTTTTGCATGGCTACATGTGAGCTAAGTGTTTTAACTGACATTATATGGATAGAATACAATTCAGGACAGAGAATCCAAATAGCTATCTGGCTGACCAAATCTGTGGAACTGCTTTCTGGAGTCTCTACTGTTTAGGAGTCCCTCAAGTTCGGACACATATACTGTAGGCATTTGACATTAAACTTTCCCCAGGTGTAGTTCCCGCAATTTATTAGGCCAGTGTCATTCTAGACACTATAGGTTATTGGGCACATTTGTGCAGGGTTTTCAGATATGACCTGAGACCTATATAAGACCCACATTCTTTTGGAGTATCGAGTGAAAGCCAGTGATAAGATTTGAGAATATCTCAAATAGCACTAGACACCTGTCTTCAACCAACTGGTTCCAATTGCAGATATTTATATTTTAGGTGTATAAATTGGTACTAATTTATCCCATACCTAACAAAGACCTAAAGTTAAATACATATGTGTTAATCTCCATTTTGAATCTCTCATTTTGATTTATAATTATCCTGCAAGAGTGGGAGTATTTGATTCAAGCACTTAGATATTGAAAAGAGTTTTTATAGGGCAATTTCACAAATAGAAGTAGATTAGGAATTTTTAGAAATTGATTTAGTCCATCTCATAGATGCACTCACAAAATCATTGCAAGATAATATCTGTGTTCTAATATATTATTTAAGAAAATAGATTCATATCTATTGAAGACTGTAAGAATAACCACAGTGTGGAAGATATGATTTATCAAATCAGGACTACCAGTCAAGGCTCTGAATTTAGAGTTAGGACACAAAATCTTTTTATAATTTCATCTTTGGTAAATGATTTAATAGAATGATAGAATCATAGAATTGTTAAGGTTGGAAGGGACCTCTAGAGATCATCTAGTCCAACCCCCCTGCACACGCAGGGTCACCTAGAGCACGTGGCACAGGACCGTGTCCAAGCGGGTTTTGAAGATCTCCAGAGAAGCAGACTCCACAACCTCTCTGGGCAGCCTGTTCCAGCGCTTTGTCACCCTCACTGGTAAGAATTTTTTCCTTACGTTCCTGCAGAATTTTTGGTGTTTCAGTTTGTGGTCACTACCTCTAGTTGTGTCAGTTGCCACCACTGAAAAGAGGTCGGCCCCAAAATTTCTATACTCTTTTTTTTTTTTCAAATTAAAACTAAACATTCTGATCTTCCCTATATATATTTCATTACATATTTCATTATTGAGAATCTCAGATTAAACCACAGACATCTTCAGAGTTATTACTTCTACTGCCTATGAAAACACAGAGAAAACAATGGCATTCCTCTTCTTTCTGTGATTGCTTCCACTGGGAGACTTTCTGTAATTTGCAGGCCAAATCTCGTGGGACACCGAAGGTAAATAAAGTGGTCAGTTTCTACTTACTGGCATAAATCATGCAACTGGCAACTGGCACAACACTGCGGATGCAATACATCCACACTTCATCCACTCTCTATCGATCGTACTCACAAGGATCAACTAAGGCAGTGGATTCTACCCTGAACTTCCACTACAGAAGGTTGAGAACTGTTTTGTTTTTAATAACATAGACTGAGGCAATCTTGCTTTTGAAGAGGTGATCTGAGTTAGCTACAAACAAACCAGATGCAGAACTATAATTTACTTGCAATTATGCTGCTCTGTTGTAGCATGTCAATAAGCTCTATATAAGTATACCCCTGTTGAGAGCTAGGCTTGGAAACCTCTGATAGGGTTTGGCAGATGTTTCTGAAGTCTTTTTAATCAGATTGTGCATGTGCTTCCAGTACTTGACATCACAATTCAGGGGATATACCTAGTATAGCTTTAGCAAAACACAGATGTAGACTCTAAGACACTGATAATATAAATGTCTACCTGTAAGCTTGTAACTTAATATTTCTTTATTCTCTATGGAGAGGATGGTCAATAACAATAGTACGATTGATCTGGGTTATTTTAGACACGTGTTCCTGCCGAGATGTATGCTGGGGAAGAATAATATGCTAGGAGATGAATAATGACCGTGAAGTATAAGCTAAAAGCATGGTTAGATTTTTATACTGAAAATTTCTGAACTGAGCAGACAAATTGTACCCAATTAATTTCTACAAACCCAGCAACAAAGTGTCTGAACTTTTACAGGACTTTAAGTGGTGTTGGGACAAATAGTTACAAATTGAAATCCATTACCAATTAAAAGTTAGGTTAGCATGTAACATATCAATTTATTGCAGGTGGATAAGGTACATCCTTCCCCTACAGAATGGGTGACAGGAATGAAACCACCGTCATGTACTTCATTCTCCTGGGATTTCCCACCTCTGCTGAACTGCAACTGCTCCTCTTTTCTGCTTTCTTCCTGGCTTATTCATTAACTGTTTTGGAAAATATCGTTATAATTCTTATTATCCGAACTAACCATAGTTTGCAGAAACCCATGTATTTCTTCCTGGGGAACTTGGCTTTCTTGGAAATCTGGTATGTTTCTGTCATTGAGCCAAAGATGTTAGTAGATTTCCTCTCTCAAGACAAACGCATATCATTCCAGGGGTGCATGACTCAGATGTATTTCTTTGTGACTTTTGTTTGTACTGAGTACGTCCTCTTAGCTGTTATGGCCTACGACCGCTTCTTGGCCATATGCAATCCTCTCCGATATCCACTCATCATGAACTATCGATTCTGTGTTCAGCTAACAGCTGGCTGTTGGATATGTGGTTTGATCACCTCTTCCATCAAGCTGAGCTTTATAGCTCAGCTCTGGTTCTGCAATGCAGACAAAATTAATCATTATTTCTGTGATATTTCACCTCTACTGAATATCTCCTGCAGTGATTCCTCTTTGACTGAGCTAGTGGATTTCATCTTGGCTCTGATGGTTATCATGGTGCCACTGTGTACTGTGGTCACCTCATATATTTGCATCATGTTCACTGTGTTGAAGATCCCTTTTTCTCAGGGGAGGCAAAAGGCATTTTCTACCTGTAGCTCCCACTTGACTGTAGTAGTGTTGTTCTACTCTACCACCTTGTTCACTTATGCCCACCCAAAGGTTATGTATACCTACAGGGCTAAAAGCTGGTATCAGTAGTAGTACAACTCCTGAATCCACTCATATATTGCCTCAGAAACAAAGAAGTGAGATTTGCCCTGCGGAAGACCTTCACTTGCCCAAGAAACACCTAAGTACTCAAAGACTTCGCTCATGTGCTGACTCAAATGTGCTGATGAATGAAAATCAGGAGCTCTAGACCTTGACTCACTATCAAGTGAAATGGTACTTACTATTCATGGACCCAATTACCATATTTATTGAACTGGAACTTGATAAATCTAAGTTTGACTTGCATCTATTTTTTTTCCTTGCATTTTTATGCTACCTACCTTTTTCGAAATCTTTAGCAGAATGACTGCTGCAATTTCATAGGAAAAGCTTGGCAAATCTGCAAGGAAATTTGCAATCAGACATCTTTCTGGGGCACACCAAATGATTTCCAAGAGGAAATTCAGGCACATCTGACAGGATAGAGCATTTCACAGATTTATTGAGGGAGAATTTGCTGTGGATCAGCAATATTACAGTAATGTCATAGCTCAAAATGTAGATCAAGAGCAACTTAGTGATTCACAGAATGGCTGAGATAGAAAGAGACCTCTGGAGATCAGACAGTCCAACTTCCCTGCTCAAACAGGGTCACCTGAAGTATGTTGCACAGAGTCACGTCCAGGCAATTTTTGAATAACTTAAAGCAAAGATTCCATAACCCCTCTGGATAACCTTTAACAGTGCTCTTTCTCCCTCACAGTCAAAAAGTTTTTCCTCATATTCAGGCAGAATTTCCTGGGTTTCAGTTTGTGCCCATTGGTTCTTCTCCTGTCACTGGGCACCAATGAAAATAGCCTGGCCTCATCCTCCTGATATCCTCCCTTCAGATATTTGTACACACTGATAAGCTCCCATGTTAGTCTTCTCCTCTCCAGGCTAAACAGGCTCAGCTATCAGCCTTTCCTCACAGGAGAGATGCTCCAGCCCCTTCGGCCACTAAATAGCTCTCCATTGGACACACTCCAGCAGCTCCGTGTTTTTCTTGCAGTTGGGAGCCCAGAACTGGACAGAGTACTCCAGATGTGGCCTCACTAGCACTGAGTAGAGGGGGAGGACCACCTCCCTCGACCTGCTGGCAATGCTCTTCCTAATGAACCCCAGGATACCATAAGCCTTCTTGGCCTTCAGGGCACACTGCTGGCTCACAGTTACTTGCTGTCCACCCAGAACCCTGGTCCTCCTCCACAAAGCTGTTCTCCAGCAGGTCAATCCTGAACCTTTACTGGTGCATGGGATTAGGGAATGGAAAGCAAATGGACAAATGGATGGCATAGTGGCAATGGGTGCCTGCATGGACAACGATAGATAATTAAGCGGGCTGAGCTCCAGATATGTAGGCAGTAAGGGGGGTAAAAAATGCTTCTTCAGTATTTGTCCCTGCTTAAGAGCAGACTCTGACATGTAGAGACTCAAAACTGCAACTCCTGCCTCTCCCTGCAGAAGAGATGGGATGCGGCAGCTGACAAAACAGACAGTTTTACAGAGTTCCTGTAATGTCCACAGGTTGAAGGTGTCTTTCAATGTGAATTTCATCACTTCTCAGAGGAGACATCAAAAATCCAGTGGAAGAATCACCTCCCTGGAAGAATCTGTGTCGTTTTTTCTTTTTTTTTCAGTTGTGTTTTTTGTTTTGTTTGCTTTCCCTATATAGAAATATATGACTATATGGAAAAACAGGTAAGAACGTGTGAAAGCAGATAGGAGCCAGTACTGTGGCTGAGAACAATTCCTGCCTATTTCTGAATTCTTGATTAGAAAATCCTGGATTTTTTATTAGAAAAGTCAAAAACACTTTAGTGGCCTTTACTTGGGCTCCTTTAACTATTTACACCTACTTACTCTAAATTGTTTTCTTTCCTATTCAACAGGCATAACTTGTGCCTAATTCACTTAAGTAAAATGTGGATCACACTGCCATTTTCTTTCATTCTTGCAGTATGTGCTAACTCTATCTCTGCGCAGCTCTTCATTTTTACACTCTTCTTTGTTCTGAGCTCCTTCGGGGAGGGGAGCGAGTGGCTCACGCTGTTTTTAAAGCCTCACCCCATCAAGACTCTTTTCCCGACCTATTTTGGGGCTGGCAGCGGCCTCGGGCGGCAGCGCCGCATGGGCCAACGGGCGGGAGCTGCTATCAGTGATATCCCAGCGGCGATGATCCTATCAGCAATAGGTGATATCAGCGATCAGTGCTATCCTATCGGCGATGATCCTATCATTCCTTCCAGCCTGAATCCCGGGAGTTCAGCTGGGCGATGCAACCGGAGAGACAGTTCATCTTCGGGCCCCGCGTTGGGCACCATTTGTTGCAACTGCGAAGGAGCGGACTCCAGTGTAATGCACCAAAGACATTTTATTGAGCACGAGATAAAACTTATATGCTGCACTACACCAGATACTATACTTGTTTGTCTACAAGTATGTGAAACAGTTACTAATAAACCAATAATCTAAAGCCTTATATTAAAACTACCCAATCGGCTTCTTGGTCACGTAGCAGCCAGACAGTTGCTTTTGCTTTGTTTGCTGAGAACATCTGCAGTGCCGGCCTTGATGCTGGTTATCTACTAACAAGACATCCTGTACTACTGTTAACAAGCCGTCCTGTGCTACTGTCCTCGGAGCAGGTCTCCACGCTGCAGAATTTTTGTTTTAGAGACTGAGAATGAAAACTAAAATATTCAACAGGTGGCACAGCCTGGTATTGATTCAAGGAAATTCAAATGCCAAAATGCTTTTCTGTCAGCCCTTTAGATAATGTGAGCTGTTTATTGTTGTTTTACCATGGAAGAGGAAAAAAAAAGAGAGAAAAAAAGAACAAAATAGACCCCGAAAACCTTCCTACTAAGCACCACATTTAAAGTGGTATAATGGTGGTATCCATTAAAGTGAAAACTTAGTAAGGTTCACTGTGTTTGAATTAAAGTAATAAAATTTAAACCCTTTGGGATGCAAGACTGAGGTGCAAATAAAATTATCCCCATTTATCATCAAATGCATACATAACTATATAGTCAAAACTCCATGAACAAAAAGAAACCCGTAACATTCTTGAAGGAAAAATATATTAAAAGTGGCAAGTACTTGAACTGTACGCCTGAAGATGGCTCTATAACCCAAATTCACACAAACCTCACTGGGAGAAAAAAATCCTATCTATGAAATCGAAAAAAAAAGCAATTGAAAAGCAGATTGTTTTCTTGTTCTTCTCCATTTTTTACTTCGTTTTGCAAAAAAAGAAACCAATATGAAATGAAATACAAATGGTTTTGTTAGATATTTTCCAGAAATAAAATACATTTAATAAAATTATGTAATTTTTCATTGACTGAAATTATGAAGGAAATTTTCAGGCAAAATTTAATACTTCTGATTTGGTACAAACAAGCAGAGATGTTCTAAAACCTACCAAAGATAACCACAAACTAATTTTCAAGCATCTTATACCAAGTAGCTCTTAGAGTTCACATCAAAAGTGATATGCTTGTTTCTTTTGGAACATTTATTTGGTTTACAATGCCCTTGATATACGTTGCTGAGAGAAGCCGAGGCCAGATACTGAGTTTGGCTTTAAGCAAATCAAAACGACTCCTAAAAGTCTTCATATGCACGCACACACACACCTACACATTTCAATAACGATAATTAGTAAGTTATAGTTAGAAGAAAAAGAAACTTCTAATTACAGAGTTAGCTTTGAATGCATATTTTCTCTGGAAGAGTGTATGCTCTTATTGTCAAAAACAGTTACTGATATTTTCAAAATACACGCCCAGGTGAGGAATTGCTGATAGAATATAACTGACATTTCCTGTGCTGATCGTTTTGGTTATGAAAATCAAAAATCATGACAACAGTTGCAGACAAAGAGGTCTGAAATGCAAGGTAACACATTCCTACTTTCAAAGATGCTATATGTGAATCAGTCTTCAAATAAATAATCAGTAAGAATAATGCCATTATAGTAAACTGAAGATGACATTACTTAAAAAATATTACAAGCCATATAATCCAAACACATTAAGAAATCATGCAGGATAATGTTATCATTAAATTCTAGTTATTATTCCCACTCTGTTATTACTCAATAGTTACTTTAACTAGAGGTGTTCATTGAATTCAAGTAATCCCTTTGATCTTGTTTTTAATTTTAATATCTCAAGAACACTTTTAAGCTGAATCTGGCTTTCTGGAAAATGATATTTTTTTTCAAAAAGAACATATAGCATGTAGAGGAGTGGAAGAGAAAGGAAAGGAGAAGAGAGAAGAGGAGAGGAAGAAGGGAGTTTTTGTGAGCTACATTTCTATGGCATTTTAAGTAACAAAAGAAAGATGAAAATCAGTTGAAGTGGGTTTCTATGAATATGACACTTTATCTGATAAATTACAAGAAGAAAATGCTGCTTATCCACCTTTTTGGTCTTTTCAAGTTTTGAGGGAATTAGGGTATTTCACATTAAGCAAAGATGGAATTGATGCTAATGTGAAAAGACTTTCTGGTGAGGAGATGAATGCCTAAACTAAGAGAGGTGATGGGGGAGAGGGAAATTGCTACTACTGATTGAAGCTGCGTTCTACTAACCTCTTAAAAGTTCTGGATTTTCTTGTTTATCACCAAAATGAGCCAGCAGCAGCCTGATTCCAAATATCCTTGGGGATGTTGTGAGCTCCACAACATTTCCTTGCGAGAGAGTGTGTCTTTGAATACAGTCCCCACTGTAGAGAGAAGGAAAAAATAATAGGCTGGAGAGGAGGCAGAAATTGACTCTGAGACTTCAAATATGTGTTCATGAGCACACATACGGGTATTTGCATTTGAGGGTTAACCTTTGGCTTATTGGGCCAATGGGCTCCCCCTCTGAGGAGGGGAAAGGGTGTTTAGGACCAGAAGTGAATTTTATCACTTCCTCACAAAACTTAACCTAATGCTGGTGGTGGTCCCCATTGAGAAGGATATTACACTAGAGAGCTCCAGTGCCCTTTCTGGCCAGAATATCTGTAACTGAAAATGGTATGGATGAAAATCTCAGCTTTTCCCTCACATGAATACTTTGCCCTTACTGTACAAGTGTCTACAATGACA